AAATTAGTGATGTCCTTCCTGTCTCGCAGTTCCCATCTAATCCTGGTGTTATCTCCTCACTTATTGATCTCCACACGTGTGCTCCGGGGGTTGTTTTCATTTGATTGTACAGCAGGAGAGCAAAGATGATGTGTAAAAATGCAGGGTTCTTGCACTTATTTACTGAAAATACAGCTTTGGGGCTCTGGACGGTTTCCACCAGCATTTGTTGCAGAGCTCCTCTGGTTTCAGTTCGGAGTGGGCTGTGACACAGAGCTGTTCTGAGCAGCAGGCGTGCAAAACGTCCCTCTGCAATCATTTATCATGCAGTTCCCCTTGCCCTTCTTCCCATTACCAGAGGAAATAGAGTAGACTAGCGAGAGCTTTCATTGCTTGTCTTTGTGATTTATTTATTTTCTTTCTTTCTTACTTTGCAAATGGGGAATCAACTTTGACTGTGTTTTGTCCTCAGGCATCACTACCGGTGCATAACCAGGTGTTACCTCCTATGGAGGCAGTGGATGGTTCTGACCCTCTAGCACCTTTGCAGAATCAGATGGGAAGGATGGAAACGAAAGAGGAGGACGAGGAAGATGAAGATGAGGATGAAGAGGGGGAAGACACTGACATGGATGAATGGGATCCGGATCCACCTCGACCTTTTGATCCCAACGATCTCTGTGAGCATATTAAGAAGTGAACAGCGGATTGGCTCTCTTCCCCTTTAATGGGATTAAGGACAATTCATATTTTAGCATTAACAACTAGTTGCCTTAATTATACCCAGGAACACCTACTCGTCTTGGGCTGCCTTGCCCAAAAAGCAGGATTCTCTCCTTGCTAGAGTCTCTGAGCAGCTTTATTCCTTCCTTTGCAGAAGGCTGCACTGTGTAATGTTTTAAAACATTAAATGTTTTAAATGGAATAAATGTTCCTATAGCTGAGCCAAAGATATTGGAGAAAGGTAACGCTGTTAAACTCTTTTTTTGACGCCTGAATATCTGCCTGATAAGGGTCCTCTCTGTTGCAGGGTGTGAGGAGTGCAACAACGCGCATCCCTCCGTGTGTCCCAAACACGGACCCCTGCATCCCATCCCGAACCGGCCCGTGCTGACGAGGGCGAGGGCCAGCCTGCCCCTGGTGCTCTACATAGACAGGTTCCTGGGAGGGGTCTTCTCCAAAAGGCGCATCCCGAAGCGCACGCAGTTTGGACCCGTGGAAGGACCCCTGGTCAGGCAAACGGAGCTCAAAGACTGCTACATCCACTTGAAGGTTTGTGCCCTTGGGGGTAAAGGGAGGAACTGGGGCCTGAGCTTTGCTTTCCGTAGCTTTGAACCTGTTGCTTGGACAGTTACTTCACTGGGGGCCACCTGTTACTTCCACTGATATTCAGCACTTCCTAGCTGGCTTTGCTGTGATGTCTACAGCTACTCATGCTCTTCAGGGTGACAGAGTCACCGTGAATCTTGTGGCATTATGGTGCTATGATGTATGGGACTTGTACTATTGAATGCTCTGAATCACTCTCACATGGGCTGCAGCAGCATCTGGCCATAAAAATAGCTGCTCCATCTCAGGATGTCTTGCAGCCATAAAGTTGTCATGCAGTAACTTAAGCTAAAAATATTTCTCCTTCCGCTTTCCCTCCTTCCTCCCCCAGGATGCAGAGGGGAGAGGACAGCCCAATTCCTCTTGCCCCCACCAAGTGTGTTTGCATGAGGTAAAAATAGATTTGGTTAACTTGAAGCCATTTACTTACTGGTCTGATTGTATCAGCATCTCCTTAAGTTTTATTTTTTAAGTATTTCCTAAATGCTGCCTGTTGCTTAATCCCTGTTAGTGAAAACATCAGCTATGCCTTTGTAAAGTCAATTTTGTCACCTCCTGGCCAGCCAGGGACTTATATATAACTGGATTTTACTGCAGGTGTCTCTTGATAAGGGTGACAGAAAAGACAGAGACTTGCAGGAAGACCTGTGGTTTGAACTTTCTAGCGAGGCTCTCTGCAACTGGATGATGTTCGTGCGCCCAGCTCAGAACCACCTGGAGCAGAACCTGGTAGCCTATCAGTACGGCCACCATATTTATTACACAACCATCAAAAACGTGGAGCCCAAGCAGGAGCTCAAGGTAGGGCATTGCTCACCTTCCATGACTTGTTTTTCCACTCTTCAATAAAGCCAACGGTGGCCCGAATCAAATGTCCCCTAAATAGCTCGTCAGCCGCTGACTTAGAGAATTTAAATGAGCTTTGGTTCAGACCTCGCATGAGGAAGTTTAAAAAAAGAGTATGTAAATGGTTTGTCTGTCCCTGCCATGCTTTACAGCACACGTTTTGCAGATGCAATCTCATTTTTATTGCAGCAATCTTGTTCTCTTTAGTTCTGGATGCCCTTTCCTGGTAGGTCTACGTCCCCTTGACTTGGTTTCTGGTGGCTTAAGTGACCATGGTTTCTCTCTCTACCTGCATTTTCTGGTCCTGGGACTTTTGCAGCATATGGGGAATCATAACAAATATTGTGAGTTACTTTTTGTCCCCTCTGAGTGATTTGATTACTTCAAATTCAAAGTAGGTTGGCTTGCTGAGGCGGCCTTCATTTGGAGCATCTTTTTGGAAACTGAGGGTGACTTAGTCTTTGATATCAGTAAATAGTTTATTCTTCCCTGAATCATCCTTTTTAAACCAGGAAAAAAGCCCCACTTAAACCCTTGTCCCTGATTTTTAAAGGTAGAATTGTTTTTTTGGCCTTCTCTAAAACCAGCCCTGAGTTAGCTTAAGCTAATCACTAGAAATCTGTTTAATCCCTTCTAATTGTATCCAAACATCATTTTTCAACTGTTTTTTAAATCAATTTGAAAGCAGACCTTAATTCAATCTGCGCAGACCTGCCCGTGGAGGCACCATTTTTCTTGCTTCATGTGTTAGCAGTGCCTTTTGGGGTGAAATTAGTTGGATAATTGCAAGTGAATTACCCAGGCTAAGTAATGGGTTTTCCACTTCAAGCCCACGTAGGGCATTCGTCCCAATTTTACTGAAAGATGGAGCTGGGTGGATTAGTGCATTTGAGCAGTGGGAGCTTTTGCACTGCAGGACAAGTGGCTAGTCCAGAAGCTCCAGGATTCCCTCTTTGGTTAGTGAGGTGGCTCTAAAATAACACGTACCTGTTCATGAGGCTTTGAAGCAGGGCAGAAATGACACTCACACTGTTTCACTGCTGTGAAAACATCTGTGGTCAGTCCATGTTTAAACTCGTGCGGGGTTTTTCATGCTGCAGATCTGTTCCTGCCTCCTTTAAGTCGTGTCTTCCCTATTTGAGCCTTTCCTAGCAAGATGAGATCAGAAATGATGCAAGAATACAATTAAATATAAACACCTGATTTCTAGGTTATAATTTTTACTTAGAAAGCAGGAAAGAAAAGGCAAATCCCTCGAGTTAAAGATTTTTTTTCCGTTTCTCATGTTACGTGCACCTTAGCATGTAACAGTACTTTGCAGGCATCCACCCTTTACAATCCTTTGTCCAGCTGTAAAAAGATTAATATCATTTCTTTGGAAGCACTGTGAGAGATGAACACTCTTATTAGAGCTACACCTTAAAATTAAACATTTCTCCTCGCTGACCAAAGCTGTCTTATTCCTTAGCATATTGATCTCAGGAGGCTTTATTATTGAGGGTGAAAAGAGCAATGGGAATTAGGGGTTGAGGCAAGCGCTGTCAATAAGGGGGAAAAGGACAAAACAGAACATTTTCAGTGAAATTCCCCCAGTTCTGCTCCCATTTAAGAAAAGGTTGTGTTACCTCGTTTGCCTCCTGCAGGTGTGGTACGCTGCCTCTTACGCAGAGTTTGTGAACCAGAAGATCCATGACATATCTGAAGAGGAAAGGAAGGGTAATTTGGCTTTTTCTGTTCTTTCTGTGTGTGTGTTTTATTATTTTCCCCCAAGGTAATAGTAGCAATGTGGGTTTTTTGTTGTTCGTTTGCTTTCTTTTTAATTTGGGGTATCTAAGTGCTTCCAATTTTCTGTTAAGAGACATCACTGGGCATTCTCTGCTAACGCTCCTCACGCTAGCATTAATTTAACCTTTAAGTTTTAAGCATTAAATTGCTCCTGGGAAGAGGAATGTTTCCATGCTCAGTGTCCTAATATTGAGTCCGTGTGTGACAAATCTGTGTAATTGCTTCAGGTGGAGGCACTTCTGTTAACATCACCCAAGTCACATCAGAGACGTGATCCTGTGGGTGTTCATACAACCTGGGGGAGGTTTTTGGAGCCAAGTGTTTAAAGGAGAGGGAATAATCCATGCAAATCTCCCCCAGTGCCCTTTTTGTCTCCCTGCAATCAGCAGCAGTCATATCACAGCACAGGGAGAGGATAAAAGGGAAGCTAAATTGCATGTGTGCTGGGTATTCTGCAGTCAGTCTAACCTTCAAGGGAGAAATATGGCCTGCAGAGGACAGAAAGACCTGGAAATAAAACAAAAGAGTTTGGTTGGTGACTGAAATACCGTTGTTGACATTTCCAATTGAACAGTTCTCAGAGAGCAAGAAAAGAACTGGCCGTGTTACGAGTGCAATCGGCGTTTCATGAGCTCGGAGCAGCTCCAGCAGCACCTCAACTCCCACGATGAGAAGCTGGACTTCTTTAGCAGGTATCAGAAGCTTAACTTGGCCTCTATATTTCTGAGTGCAAAGTAGATATGTACAAACCTTTTGCTGCAGAATTCCGGCAGGTTTTATTACTTACTACAAGCCGTTGTCACTTAACAGTGGCCATTCACCCACTCAGATAGGAAAGAACACACAAAAAGAGCATGGATTCCCAATCTGTCCCTGTTGTCCCTAACCTGGAGCGCTGTGTTTTCCATAGAGCCAGAGGCAGAGGCCGTGGGCGAGGGAAGAGGAGGTTTGGACCAGGCAGACGCCCGGGGCGCCCGCCCAAGTTCATGCGCATGGAAATAAGCAGTGAAAACGGTGAAAAGTGTGAAGAAGGGACGCAGGTATATTTGAGGATGGGAAGGAGGGGGTGGAAAAAAAGTCATGTTGGGTTATAAAGTCTTTTCTAGAAGTTTTGTAGGCATCAGTGCAAAGGAAAGATGCACTTCTGATTAAAATCCATGTTCTTTGTTAGGGAGCATGCTATTAGTAGTTAGCAAGTATGCTGACAGGACAGAAATGCCACAATTTGCTAGACCTTTAAGGCAGGACATTGCTGAGATCAGGTAGGAGAGTCCCCTGGAAGGAAGCCACTCTGAAATCCCAAAGTCCTGCTTGCATTTTTAAGCACATTTTAAGTGAGAGATGGATCTTATGCCCTCAAACTCATGTTAACTGAGCGCCGTGCACTCACCGTTGACCTTGTTCAGCTTCTGCTTTTTATTTTGAAAGAAACTCTTGTCATCCTCTAGCCTGGCTTCCACGCTTAGCCTTTTGCTTTTTTCCCCATTATTCCTGTCTCTTTAAAAACACTGGATATCTGCCACCTAGACCAGGGCTGGACCTTTGGCTTGTAAATCATTCCAAGTCTCTCTGTCCATTACGGGTTCATTGCTTGTAACAGCTGCTCTCCTGGCAGCTCTGTCGTCATCTTCTCCCGCACCTGCTTTTGCACTGTGAAAGTAGCCTTGATCTGACACGTTTTTGGCAATCTGTTTCTTTGCTTGTGCTTTTAAATTCCTTAGCTGCATTGCAGGCGGTTTCGTGCAAGGGTCAGTGCTTTGTTTGGGGGGGATTTTTTTTCGGTGGGACGCACTGAAGGAGTTAGCATGGGCCCTGTGTCTAGCTCGTGGTTAAATAAGTAGAAATCTTGTTGTCTGAGTGTTATCACAAGTGTTTTTCAGTGGGTGGGGGGAATAATCACTGGCTGTATGATTTGCGATTTCAGGACTTGCTGCATTTTTCCAGCAAGGGGCAGTTTGATGAGGCCGGACAAACTCCGCTGAATGGGCTGGAGCCGCAGGAGGAGACTCCGGCGCTGTCGGAGGCGCAGCCGGCCCTGGATCAGCACACGGAAACGCACCCGGCGCCCATGCAGCCGCAGCACGAGGAGAGCGCGGTGCCCACGCAGAGCACCATGACAGCAGATGACATGAGGCGAGCCAAGCGCATCAGGGTAAGCCAGGAGGCTGGTGGCTCCTGTCCTCTGTCACCTTCTCGGGCCGCTGCCACCCAGCCAAGGCTGGAGCTGCCAGCACCAGCTGGTGCCTTTCTCTCCCTGCAGCGGCCACGTCCAAATTGGGAATAAAACATCTCATTCGTAGCAAATTTCCTCCTCCTGAGAGGAAGACGGGTCTCATGCTCAAAGCCAGCAGCTCATGAGCTGCTAGTGAGAACTGGTCACCAGTTGGAGCCGATTCAATCCCAGCACAGTAATTTTGGGGGAGTGACAGGGTCCGTGCGAGCTGGCGAGCGGGAGCGCTTCAGGCAGCCGCCTGGATCGCGGTGCTGTGGCACAGACTAACGCCTTGTTCACGGCACCATCTGTGGCTCTGGGAGCTAGTTGCCAAGAAGGAGCCACAGCCTCGACTGGAATCTATTTACTTGACA